CCCTAGCCCCTCCCCCCCCAATCCTGGGGAGGAGGCTGTGGCCAGGCTTCCTGTGTTACACCTCAGCGCAGTGGCTGTGGAGGGAAATGAGGGACACGGGACGCCCACCGCCACGGCAAGCTGGTGTGGTGCCATGTTAATGTCCCTGAGGGGTTCCTGGGGGCTCATCAGGGACTTGAGGGGACCACGGACCAGAAGAGCAGGTACCGCCTGGCACTCAGCACTGCCTTTCACCACTTCCGACCGCCAGCCATGGGCCCTCCCCGCGCTCAGCGAGCACCGAGCCGTGGAGGACGGCAGCGTCCCCGGGATCGGGATCGGGAACGAGGCAAGGGCATCTGTGCCGCCCCCCCCTCCGCCCCGGCCCGTCTTGCCCGGATCAGTGCGGTTTAGCAAGAAAGAGGAGCGAAAGGCATGACGCTGGGACCGGAGGAAACACCACCATCATTGTTCATAGAGGAGTTGATTGTATGTGCAGGATTACAGAAGTCCACAAATGAAGTCTTAGACTAAAAGAATTTAGCAAGAAATCTGGATTCCATATCAAGAGGCAAAACCGTTCATGGTTTTAGGTATCGGACAGAAAATGAATTTTAAGAAATAACATTTACAAATAGCATCAAAAATGGGAAGTCCCAGGAGTAAATCTTACAAATGCTTGCAAAACTTCCTCACAGAAAAGTCTACTCTAAAGCTTGATGGGGAGAGTCTAGAAAATACCAAAATAGGTGGAAATAGCTCCTCCAACTCACCGTGGACTGAAGAGTCCAACTAGTAAAGTGTCATTTCTCGGCAAACACCCCAGTGGGTACTATTCTCTTGGTGGAACCTGACAAATGACTCAGAACCCCTCGAGGACGAGGGGAGGGGCTGGCCTACCCGCTGACGAGGGTGTGTGACTGAGTGACGGTGACCCTGAGGGTGCGGTGTTGGTGCCAGGACAGACAGACCGACCAACAGGACAGCACGCTGCCAGGGCCTCGAGGCAGGATGGGGTGGGCTTCACGGAGAATGGAGCTAGGAGGGCTGATGGCCGAGGGGAAGCAGGAGCCGGAGCCCTGCCTCACCACATGCAGGGGACAGGGTGCTGGCTGCAGGCCCTGAGCGTGCGAGTGAAACGCTAAGCGCCCAGGAGAGAAGGTGGACTGTCGTCCTGGCTCCTTCAATAAGACCTCCCGGGAAACGTCAGACATCTCCCTACGTTAAAAAGAACTATCATTTCAAAAGACAGCCCTTAAAAGTGTGCAGACAGAGCACAAACGGAGCAGGCACGCACATCACGTGGCGCCACGAACAACTCGCCGCCCATCCACAGCGAGGGCTCCGGCGGGCCGGAGGCGGGCAGCCCGGTGTGAGAAACGCAAAAAGGCAGACTCACTGCCCATCCACAGCGAGGGCTCCGGCGGGCCGGTGGGAAGGAGGCGGGCAGCCCGGTGTGAGAAACGCAAAAAGGCACGCGCTTCACAGGAAGGAGCCCGCCTGATGGGTAAGATGAAAGCCGCGCGGTCTCATTAGTCGCCACAAATGCTAATTAGAGCTGCAGGAGACACTGCCACAGGCGCTGGAGGGACAGACACAAGCTGTGGAGGGCGCCGGGGCCACGCGGGGCGGCTGAGCCGTGGCCACAAAGCCAGAGCACGTGCTGCCCGGCCCTGCACAGGGAGAGGGAGACCTGGCAACATTCTATTCCTCCATCCGGGTGCTGGTTACACGGGGACATGATTTGCAGGACATGGTGACGACTTAAATGCGTTTAAGAATACATATACATTATTACTATATACACTGGAAGACAGAGATGTGCACATATTATACACTGAGTGGCCAGATTATTATGACCACCTGACATGTGTAGGCAAATTAGCTATAATTTCGCGCTGAAGTTGCTAGAGGGCCAGACCGTTATAAATAGGGAAGCAGGTTGTTTACCACGACAATAGAAGTGATTTTTTTCTGAAGACATGGGTAAATAACGTGATTTAACAGCCTTTGAATGTGGGATGGATACACACACACACTGAGTGTGGCCAGATTATTATGACCACCTGACGTTTGTAGGCAAATTAGC